TCCTCAGTGTGTCCCCTCAGTGTGTCTCCTCAGTTTGTCTCCTCAGTTTGTCTCCTCAGTGTGTCTCCTCAGTTTGTCTCCTCAGTGTGTCTCCTCAGTTTGTCAGTTTGTCTCCTCAGTGTGTCTCCTCAGTGTGTCCCCTCAGTGTGTCTCCTCAGTTTGTCTCCTCAGTTTGTCTCCTCAGTGTGTCTCCTCAGTGTGTCTCCTCAGTGTGTCCCCTCAGTGTGTCTCCTCAGTTTGTCTCCTCAGTTTGTCTCCTCAGTTTGTCTCCTCAGTGTGTCTCCTCAGTTTGTCTCCTCAGTGTGTCTCCTCAGTTTGTCTCCTCAGTTTGTCTCCTCAGTTTGTCCCCTCAGTGTGTCTCCTCAGCGTGTCCCCTCAGTGTGTCTCCTCAGTTTGTCTCCTCAGTTTGTCTCCTCAGTTTGTCTCCTCAGTGTGTCTCCTCAGTGTGTCCCCTCAGTGTGTCTCCTCAGTGTGTCTCCTCAGTTTGTCCCCTCAGTGTGTCTCCTCAGTGTGTCCCCTCAGTTTGTCAGTGTGTCCCCTCAGACAGACTCAGTGAAGACTCTGTGTGTCCCCTCAGTGTGTCTCCTCAGTGTGTCCCCTCAGTTTGTCTCCTCAGTTTGTCTCCTCAGTTTGTCCCCTCAGTTTGTCAGTGTGTCCCCTCAGACAGACTCAGTGAAGACTCTGTGTGTCCCCTCAGACCCAGAATGAGACCCTGCAGGTGTGTCATGCTCTGGGGGGTTCTCTCTGTCCTCCTGCTGGCTGTGGACTCTCAGGTGTCTCCTCACCAGCAGCAGCCTCCTCCGGTCATCGGAGGAGCGTCTCGTATTTCTCCTCAGGGTCGGCTGGACAGAGACATGGTGCAGGACAAAGAGTGAGTGATGACAGATGGACCTCAGTGTCTCGGTTCTGTCCAGTTAAACTCTGGTTCTGTGTGTCCTCAGCCACATCATGGAGCACCTGGAGGGGGTCATAGACAAACCGGAGAGGGACATGTCCCCCCAGGAGCTTCAGCTGCATTACTTCAAGATGCACGACTACGATGGCAACAACCTGCTGGACGGCCTGGAGTTAGCCACGGCCATCACACACGTCCACCGAGAGGTGGGACAGAGTCTCTGCGCTGCACGTCTTCCTGTTGGACGTTAGACTGAACCGGTCTTTGTCTTTTTCACTTCAGGAGAGAGGAGAAGGCAGCCAGCCAATGAAAGAGGAGGAYCTGATCGCGCTAATCGATGACGTTCTGAAGGACGACGACAAAAACAACGACGGCTACATCGACTACGCAGAGTTCGCCAAATCTCTGGAGTAGAGCGTGTCCTCGTCTGTCCTCGTCTGTCCTCGTCCAGAAGATGTGAAGACAAGTCAAAGACAGCAAGTGCCACAGCTGAGCGATGTGGAGCTAAACTATATTTCAGGAAACAGTTTATACTCTGTCTCTGGCTGTCGGTGTTTTTACAAACCTGATAATTTCATTCAGAATGACTGAAAATAATTTCCTCAAATTTCAAAAAACTAAAAACATTTTAAAGATTTTCTTTTTGTTTCATAAAATTGTGCTTCTCTCTGCATTTCAAAAACAAAGAAAGACCAGCCGACGAGTCGGTTCTCCCAAAACTGAGAGTTCAGGAACACAAGTTTGGTTGACGTGTGGTTGGTTGATGATTGGTTGGTTGGTTGATGATTGGTTGGTTGGTTGGTTGATGGTTGGTTGGTTGGTTGGTTGATGGTTGGTTGATGTTTGGTTGGTTGGTTGATGTTTGTTTGGTTGGTTGGTTGATGTTTGTTTGGTTGGTTGGTTGATGTTTGTTTGGTTGGTTGGTTGATGTTTGTTTGGTTGTTTGGTTGGTTGATGTTTGTTTGGTTGGTTGGTTGGTTGATGGTTGGTTAGTTGGTTGGTTGATGTTTGGTTGGCTGGTTGGTTGGTTGGTTGGTTGATGGTTGGTTGGTTGGTTGGTTGGCTGGTTGGTTGGTTGGTTGGTTGATGTTTGGTTGTTGGTTGGTTGATGGTTGGTTGGTTGGTTGTTGGTTGATGGTTGGTTGATGTTTGGTTGGTTGGTTGATGTTTGGTTGGTTAGTTGATGTTTGTTTGGTTGGTTGATGTTTGTTTGTTTGGTTGGTTGGTTGATGTTTGTTTGGTTGGTTGGTTGATGTTTGGTTGTTGGTTGGTTGATGTTTGGTTGTTGGTTGTTTAGTTGGTTGGTTGATGTTTGGTTGTTGGTTGGTTGGTTGGTTGGTTGTTGGTTGGTTAGTTGGTTGGTTGATGTTTGTTTAGCTGGTTGGTTGGTTGGTTGGTTGGTTGATGTTTGGTTGGCTGGTTGGTTGATGGTTGGTTGGTTGATGGTTGGTTGGGTGGTTGGTTGGTTGGTTGGTTGGTTGATGTTTGGTTGGTGGTTAGTTGGTTGGTTGATGGTTGGTTGGTTAATGTTTGTTTGGTTGGCTGGTTGGTTGATGGTTGGTTAGTTGGTTGGTTGATGTTTGGTTGGTTGGTTGGTTGGTTGGTTGGTTGGTTGATGGTTGGTTGGTTGGTTGATGTTTGGTTGGTGGTTGGTTGGTTGATGGTTGGTTGGTTGATGGTTGGTTGGTTGGTTGTTGGTTGGTTGGTTGGTTGATGGTTGGTTAGTGGTTGGTTGGTTGGTTGGTTGATGGTTGGTTGGTGGTTGGTTGATGGTTGGTTGATGGTTGGTTGGTTGGTGGTTGGTTGATGGTTGGTTGGTTGGTTGGTGGTTGATGGTTGGTTGGTGGTTGATGGTTGGTGGTTGGTTGGTTGGTGGTTGATGGTTGGTTGGTGGTTGNACAACAACAAGAAGAAGAAACAACAATAACAAGAAACAACAACAACAAGAAACACAAACAACAACAAACAACAACATCAACAACCAACCAACCAACTAACTAACAAGAAGAAACAACAACAACAAGAAACACCAACAACCAACCAACCAACCAACACAACAACAACAACAACAAGAAACAACAACAACCAACCAACCAACGAACACAACAACAAGAAACAACAAAAATACCAACAACAAGAACAACAACAAAAACAACAACAACAAACAGCATCAACAACTACAACAACAACAAGAAACAAAAACAACCAACCAACCGACACAACAACAACAACCACAACTACAACAACAGAAGCAACAACAACAACAAACAACAAATAACAACAGAATCAAGAAACAAACAAACAACAAATAACAATAGCATCAAGAAACAACAACAACAACAAGAAGAAGAAATAACAACAACAACAAACAAATAACAAACAAGAAGAAGAAGAAGAAACAGCAACAACAAGAAACAACAGGAAACAACAACAACAAATCTTTTCTTCCTTCATGAAATAAACACTTTATAATAAGAACTTTTACATTCTTCTAAGTTTTGCTTTAAAGTTTAAACAGTTCGTTTGTTGCTTTCATGGACTGAACCTGTTTTAACCTGTTGTGTGTTTTCTGTGTTTTGTGTGTTTGTGTGTTTTGTGTGCATCTTTTCAGCTCTCTGTGAGAAATGAAAGTTCTTCTATTCTTCTGACAACTTCCGGTCACTTTAACAGAAGAACCTTCACCTGGACTTCTGGTCCCTCTGCATGGTTCCGGACTCGAACCCGCCTTCAGGACTCGGGAGGTTCTGGGACCTCACCTGTCCAGGTGTGTCGCTCACTCACCGTCCTCGTGGATCCGCGCCGCGTGCATCTGCTCCACCACGGCCAGCACCTTTCCCCACTGACACTCGGCTCGGTACCGGTCCACTTCCGCCTCCAGCCGCAGCTGGCTGAACGAGACCCGGGAGGACATGGCAGCTCTGTCCCGGTGAGGGGGACCGAAGTCCCCGGACACGATGGGAGACACTGCGGACTGACAGGGGGGAGGAGTCAGGTTGGAGCAGGGGGCGGGGCCTGTTGTCATTATTCTAATTAGCTGTGCACGCGCCCTGCGTGCGTCCCGCGCTCAGTAATCCTTAATCTGTTTAACTGGATCAGTTTAAAGCTGCTGCAGAGGAACAGAACCGACCTTACTTTATTTATTTATTTATTTATTTATTTATTTATTTATTTATTTATTTAGTTAGTTAGTTAGTTA